TAGGGCAGCATCAGTCCTCTCCTCTTCCAGCTGCGGCCGCCCCCCAGACAAAGTCCAAAAATATGGTAACGGGTTTGTAACAAAACAGAAAGAAAAACACCTTAGTCCAATGCCTGAGTTCTTCTGTCTTGTGGCTTCCTTTGAAGAACAAAAAAGCAAGAGAAAAAAAACGAGTAAATTTAAAGCAGAAGAAAAACGTAATGCCCAAGTAAATTAAAAAGAGATATGGATTCGATGCTGTAATCAATCGAAAGCACAGTAAGAACCCTCTAACTCTCTTACTTGTTGATTTTTTTTTTCCTATTCATTTGGATTATGATTTTTTTTCTTCTTTGTTTGGAGTTGCAGCGTTCTGCTGAGCAGATGATGCGCTGTGAGTCTACAGCGGCGCAGGGGCTGCGCAGCGACAAAACCGCGACCAAAAGACGCGCGCTTGAACCACACTCCCCCTCCCTCGACTCCCGGCTGGCGGGTTGTAGACCTGCATGCCCTCCCTGCTAGCATGGGACCCAGTGGCTGTGCAGCCTTAAACATGACACCATTGGCAATGACCATTACGTAGTATGACTACTTAACATATTGCTCTCCAACAGTTAACTCGATATGAATGGAATTGGCCGTGAGTACTCACTCAAGTTGAAGGCCCCAAAGAGTAGAGGGTTTCATAGTTTCGTGTGCCAGTCTGGTGGGGAGTTAAATCGCTGCAGGTCTGCTGTCTGCACCCTGAGCCGGCGTTGGCGCAGGCGAATACGGGCGCTAGCGGCAACGGCGCAAGCGGCGACCACGGCGTGGGTCGCCTGCGTGTTTTTTTGCGCTCGCATTACAGGGACCTCCACCTGCACGCCACACTTGCATTTAAGGTTGTGAATTTTACTGAGATTGTGTAATGTCAATGATCTAAAGCTGACTTGGCACTCGTGCGTTTTTGTGTTTTAGTTTTAAGTGCAACATTTCAGTTGTAAAGTTTTTTTATGAAATCGCATAACTGAAGAATGTAAGTCGGAGTATAGGTGTTGGTTGGATTTGCGCAGCGTAGGAAAAGTGTGCAGCTTAGAGTTTTCGCGCACGCGAGCCCATGCTGTAGGCTCACTTTTTGCATTTTGTGAGAATAGAGACTAACTGTTTCTGTCTGCCCTTTTTGTTCTTTCTTCCTTTTTATTTGATCTTTTGGTTTCTTTACTTTTACAACCCCTCCTCTGTCTACTCTCTGTTCTTCTCTCTACCTCCTCTTCCTCCTGTTTTTCTTTCTTTTTCTTTCTTTTACTGTTAACCTGTTGAAGGCTTGTTACCTGAAGGCAATTGAAACCCAGCCGAACTTTGCCGTGGCCTGGAGTAACCTGGGCTGCGTGTTCAATGCTCAGGGGGAGATCTGGCTGGCCATACATCATTTTGAGAAGGTTGGTTGCAGATGACAGTCGCACTTTGGACAGTGATGATAAATGAATGAATGAATATAATGGGCTGTTCTGTGGGTTTACAGGCAGTGACCCTGGACCCTAACTTTTTAGATGCTTACATCAACTTGGGCAATGTTCTGAAAGAGGCTCGTATCTTTGACAGGTAAACGGTTACGTCCTCTGCCATTACATTTTTACTCGAAGCCTTTTTTCCGCCAATCTGATACATGTAGTTTTCCCCTTACAGAGCTGTTGCTGGTTATCTGCGTGCCCTCAGCCTGAGCCCTAACCATGCTGTTGTCCATGGAAACCTGGCGTGTGTGTACTATGAGCAGGGATTGATTGACCTGGCCATTGATACTTACCGTCGTGCCATTGAGCTGCAGCCACACTTTCCTGATGCATACTGCAATCTCGCTAATGCACTGAAGGAGAAAGGCAGTGTAAGAACCTACATTTATGTTTTTGAATGATTCCTCTATCATGCATCCCTGCTGTCTACACTCATGTTTTCATCCCATTCAGTTGTCAGTGTTGTGCTGATTTGTAAGGCACAGCTCAAATCAAGCAGATTTCTGTTGTCAGAAGGGAATCTGTGAGACCAATTCTGCTTCGCATAAAATTCCCAACTGCATAGATGCCTATAGAAATGGCTCGAGTTTGCCGGCTAAAATTCACAGGACAACCTTTAGAATCAAGAGATGGATTGTCTGCTAACTTGCATGTTTCCTTTTAGGTTTCTGAAGCTGAAGAGTGTTACAACACTGCGCTGCGTCTGTGCCCGACTCACGCCGACTCCCTTAACAATCTGGCCAACATCAAGCGTGAGCAGGGCAACATTGAGGAAGCTGTGCAGCTCTACAGAAAAGCACTGGAGGTGAGGGGACCAGTGAAGTCCTCTAAAAATGCATATTCGTTATTATACCCGTTTTTTTTTTAACCTGTTTAAGTGAGATGTTTTCATTCATGTTTCTTAAGTTTTGGTTCTATTTCTTGTAAAGGTGTTCCCTGAATTTGCCGCTGCCCATTCAAACCTGGCCAGTGTCCTGCAGCAGCAGGGGAAACTTCAGGAAGCTCTCATGCACTATAAGGAGGCAATCAGGCATGTTCTTGTTTTTACCTGCATTCTAAAGTCATTTTGTGTTGGTGTCTTTCAATGTCTCACTGTCTGTCTGTTTTTCAACCACTGAGCAGAATCAGCCCCACATTTGCTGATGCTTACTCTAACATGGGCAACACTCTGAAAGAGATGCAGGATGTTCAGGGGGCTCTGCAGTGCTATACTCGAGCCATTCAGATCAACCCCGCTTTTGCAGATGCTCACAGTAACTTGGCTTCAATACACAAGGTATGAATCTAGAAACTTGGAGAATTAATTTCCTTTCAGTGTTGATTTGGATTCAAATTACATCCTTCTCCCTTTGAAGGATTCTGGGAACATTCCTGAAGCGATTGCATCGTACCGCACTGCCCTGAAGCTCAAGCCAGACTTCCCTGATGCTTATTGCAACCTGGCTCACTGTCTGCAGGTATGTAGGAGTCTTAAGTGCATGTTTTCACTGCGCACTCTGGTGGGAATCTTTGTGTGATGTCATATTGTGCTCTGGTCCTCAGATTGTATGTGACTGGACTGACTATGATGAGCGCATGAAGAAGCTGGTGAGCATTGTGGCTGATCAACTGGAGAGGAACCGCCTGCCATCTGTGCATCCCCATCACAGCATGCTCTACCCCCTCTCTCACGGTTTCCGCAAGGCAATTGCAGAGAGGCATGGCAACTTGTGTCTGGATAAGGTGTGTTTATTACGTTAAACATATTTACACAGGCTCATTCTGCTCTGTTCTGCTGCATTCTCGGATTTGTAACTTGGTTTTGGTGTGAAAGTAGTTCTAGTCATTCCATGTATAAGCGTCCGTATAATACTTTGCTTGTTCTATAGATCAATGCTCTTCATAAACCTGCCTATGAGCATCCAAAGGACTTGAAGGCCAGTGGAGGCCGTTTGCGTGTGGGTTACGTTAGCTCTGATTTTGGCAACCATCCCACTTCCCACCTGATGCAGTCCATCCCTGGCATGCACAACTCTGAGAAGTTCGAGGTGATGTGTCTGTAATGCAGTAGTTAATTATAGATCTTTCTGTTGAGCACATTGTGGTGAGCTGGTATATTGTTATATCATACTGTTATATTGTTCACAGGTGTTTTGCTATGCTCTCAGCCCCGATGACAGCACCAACTTCAGAGTTAAAGTCATAGCAGAGGCTCATCACTTCACTGACCTCTCACAGGTGAGTATATGTGTACATAACACAGGCTTATTTTAGGTATATAATTTTCCTTCTCCATTCGGGGGTCTGTTTTGGTTTCATCATGTGTCCTGTGTTCATAGATCCCCTGTAACGGAAAGGCAGCAGACAGGATCCTTCAAGATGGAGTCCACATCCTGGTCAACATGAATGGTTATACTAAAGGAGCACGCAATGAGCTTTTCGCATTGCGCCCTGCACCCATTCAGGTAGGCCAGCGGTCAGGAACCTATGGCTCGCGAGCCACACCTCGCCAGATCTCTCACTCTTTACCAACAAATGATCTATTACAAAAATTAGACATCACTAGAGATCAGCAATTCATTTGTTGTAGAGCCTACATAAGCTGATAAAACGTTTAAAATAATAAATTTTTTGTACCGGCCAAAGTGTGTTCAGTGCGTGTTCAGTGCTGTTCGCGAGAGTCACGACAGCAAACCACTGACATGTCTATGGTAACGTACAGCTAATAAACTTAGATTCATAGCTTGTTTGTGGTAGGCTAATAGCTAAAAATATTTTTTTGAACAGCAGAAAAAGTGTGTAAAACAAGTGACAGGACTGAAACAAATACTTGGTTTTATTTATTTTATACTTTATCCGTGCAGCTTTCAGCGGGTGGGGCTGTTAGCGTAATTAATAAAGGAACGTGAATGAATGAGATGATAAAGAGCGAGACATTCTTGATATAAAAAAGACAGACAGTATTAAAAACTCAAAGCCATGAAACAGAACTCAATCCGTTTTCGGCACGCGAGATCCGAGTGGAACACGGACAAGCATAGTAGACTTAGTAGTAGTAGTGGCACGCCTAAAACTGTCAAAACACAGAGTGTCAAAATGCCTTATTTTTCACTCACTCAGTCTCTTACACACACACACACACACACACACACACACACACACACACACAGAGAGAGAGAGAGAACTCTGAAGGGAATTCATCCCCTTCAGGTTGTAAATCAACCTCACAGTAAAATATATACATATATAGTGTTTCCCACAGACTTGCACTGTATTTGTGGCGGCATATTTATGCAAATTAATTCTCTGCCAGCAGGAGGCACTGTTGGAGTGGTAGAGATCGAATAAAAGCAGTAGCGTTCGGTAACTGGTGTAATTTGAACGGGAGCGGGCGTTCTAACAATATCCCGTTCCGCATATCTGCCCTTTATTCTTATTGACCACCGGTACAGCCTGCACTCGGACTGTTATGCACGCGCTGCACGCATGCTTTCTGCGTCACACGCTTTATTTGCGGGGTCTGTGCACAGCATGTGCATAACGATGCTCAGAGCAGGCTGTACTGGTGGTAAATATACGGTAGGGCTGGGCGATATAGCTAAAAAAAATGTATCAACGATATAATGTTTTATATCGTTCGGTATCAATAATTATTGACATTTTTTCTAACCTTTTTTTAAAACAAAACACAATATCATTTTTTTTTTAATTTAACCACTGTGTTAATTTGCCCAATTTATTGAGACAACTTTTTTTTTTTTTTTTAC